GTTTTCCTTACCAGAATTATGTTTTCACATGTGTAACCAGCCTTCAGGAGAGATGTCTGGGCACAAAACCAGCACTGATTTCTTTAAACCAAAACTGCTTTCTTTAGTTTCACTTATCATTAATATTTTAAAAATGAATTTTACCAAATAATAAGGAAGGAAAAAGGGAATTATTGACTAAAATACAACAGCATAAGCATCATAATATTATCAAAGAAAAAATTGCTGATGTGAAGACCTAATGTTCTTTTGGTTGCTGGGAAATGATACATTTTGACACATTCCCCGGCTGACTCTCTTTATACTTAATAGGATCCTTTCCCCCAAATCCATTTTCCTGCAAGTTTGTAAATGTAAATAAAAATAATTTATTTAAATTCAAAAACAGATTATATAATTAATAAATGACAGAGCTGAGAAATAAATTGGTATCTTTAAGTCTGCATGTTATACTTAAAATAGGAAATATGTAACCTTCTTGTATGCCTCCCTGGCAACATAAAAAGGCTAAACAGTTGATTTAATGAACAAACTGCTATATATCTAGAGTCCTCATCTTTCAATTATTATTGACTTGAAAATTCAACTTTATGGTCTTTTTACATTACATTTCTTAATATAAATACATAGAAATTTCTATGTTTCTGGATTCTGATGAGTTGTACCACCTATTGTGATATACATAGAATTAAATCTAGTACATCTTAAAATTTGATAATATGAGCTGCACCACAAAATTGATCTTGATTTTTGGATTTTAAACCACTTAAAAAGTTAAATCCCTTTGTTATTCTGCCATTTTGAGAATTATAAGTTTAAAAGGAGGCAAAAGTGTATGAAAAGAATAAAAAGAAAAACTTCACGATGTAAAATCAGAATAGTGAATACTAAACACAGTACATAAAATATTCCAAAGTAAACACAATTAGATTTTTCTCATTCCTTTCTTTCAGTCTTCCCTTAGTCTCATGTAACCAATTTTTGCTGTGTTGTCTTGAGATTAGCAGCTGACCTTTTGAAGTTCTCTGCTTCTGGACTGAAATGTCCTGGGAAATTCTGAATTTCAGGTCCTTCGTTTAATTCATTTCATTGTGGAACATTCTTAGAACTTTATTTTATAATAAGACTAATTGATTTTAGACCTTTATTCTATAATACACAACTCTTGTGAGAGGGGACCTCAAATTTATATGCAGTGGGGAATACAACACTGATAGGCTTTAGTTGATTTTAATAGAGTAACTGATCTATCAAAATGGAGGAAAATCACTTCCCTGTTGGATATAATGTGTAACAATATGTACCCTACCATAACCCATGTTAAGGTCTTAGAAAATAATAATGATAAGTAATTGTAAGAACATTTTATGAATTTGAATAATAAACCTAGGACTTTTAAAATCTTTCATAATATGTATCCAAAATCATTAGGAAAAAAAATAATTACCAAGGAATGAATTTTTATACACGTATTTGTAAAATGTTACTGTGATTTCCATCATACACTAATAAGAACCAGCTTTTATCTACCCTAAACAGATAGTTATTTCAAAAGCCTAAACATAGTTATTTCAATAGCCCTTTAGTTATACAAAGTTAATCTAAGGGAAGATGATTTTCTTTTTGGGTTGACAATTTATCCACAAACCATTATCTGAAAAAATAAAATAATTTTTCTAGTATTGTGGATCTAATAATAAATATGGAGAAAATACATATTTTTCGTTCTTTTTTTTATAACATGGGGAATATATATTTTGTGCACTATTTTTGAGTCATCTCTAAACTGAAAAAGATGATTTGCAGTGAGAGACACCTGCACAATTTTATTTAAATTCAGGTCACAATAAAAGATAAAAGAGGCTGGTAAGGAGAACTGGCTGCTCAAGTAAAATTCAAACATAAGCATCTGAGAACAAGGGATGATTTCCATGGCTAGATCATTAACTATACTGACCATACAGTATTTAAAATAAATATAGTAGAACGAAACAGAACAAATTAAACCTGTAGCTGTCACTGAAATTAAGAATTTGTGAGGAAATGAACACAAGATAACTCTTGTGCATTGACATCTACATACAGATCAAAACGTTAAATGTTTTCCTGCCTTGGTGGAATAAATGAGAAAAAAATAGTAAATTTATGTGATTTCATTATGAGAACAGATTGTATATTCTAAGGTCATCATTTATTTTAGCTGTTTAACCTGCTCTTTCCTGTTATCCCCCAAATCCTATTTAAATTATTTTACAATTGTATGTGTTAAAATATATAGTCCCCTATAAATATATGGACTCAGGTAAGTACATGTTAGTGAAAGGTTTAAATTTGATCTATAAAATACAATTAGTCTTTTAAAATAAAATGACACATATGCATTATTAATTTTATCATTTTAATTTGTTCTTTATGAAAATATATATGTAAAGATCAAAAAACAATTGTTATACTGAAGTTGAATATGTTTGATGCTGTGTGTTTATGGATTCTGATTTTCTTAGGAATTTTCCAGGTATCCAAAATATTTACACTCATCTTCAAGATCTCCAAGTCAAAAAGAACCTAGAAATGAAATTAAGGTTGACATTAAAGAAAAACAATAATTGTTAGTATTAAAAATTTGGCTTTATGCTATTAGAGTCCAAATGGATAATTGTATACCTGTATATTTTGCAGCATTATCTGAATCCTTTTTTTTAAAATATGTCTTATGATAATTCAATTTCTTATTATTACCTTTGATATTTAACTTCTTTGCCTAATGAAATCAGAATATGTGAAATTTAACAAATTCAAATTAATTGGTCTTTCTGTAGGAAGATAATCCCAAACCGTGAAAATCAAAATAAAAAAGAAAAATGAAAGAGTTAAGTGGACTATAAGACTTATAGCTCCACATATTTAATTATCTTAGTTCCATTTAATAAAATTTGCCCTTAAAAATTTTATAAGCATACATTAGATTAAGTAATAATTTGTTGTGTGCCTTGAATGAAAATTTTACATAGAAGTTAATAAAATAAATAAAAATTTAAAAATTGAACTCTGAACTTGCTATGCCACACTGGATTGTTTAATATATGCTTTCTAGTACCAATAGCTTTCATGCATATCATTATTCTAATGTTAATTCAGACATGCCATTCTTCTAGTGTTAATTCAGACATGCTAATTTTATAAGCCTTAAATGATTTTCTGTTGACTTTCATAATGCTTACCTTTAGGTAATAATGCCAAAACTTTACCTGAAATCCCGGTTTCAACGTATACACATGCCATCATTGTATAAATTTTCTAGTTGCTCTTCATCCTTACCAACATTTTTATTTTTGATATTTTATATTTTGATATTTTATGACCATTGATTTGTAAAACATTTTAATAGTAAAGAAACAAGTGTTATCAATTAAAATAAAAGCAACTCCTCAGAAATTCAGTTTAGTCTCAATAACAATGTTTCTCGAGGTCTTGTAAGTTTCTTAAAAAACAAAAAAACGAATTTTATCAGTTCTCTGTTCCTGCAGTTGCTATCTCTCAGTGAACTATGTTTTACATTCTTGATACAAACTAGAAACTGTGATTTGGCAATTTTAGACTCTCATGAACAAAAACGGTTTTCATAGAATTGCAGTATTGATGTGGAACTTTCAGTTCTGAAACTATATCAGAGCTTTTGAAAAAAAATTGCAATTAAAAGTCATATAAATGTACATGTGGGACCATTTCAAACTAAAAAGTTTCTTCACAACAAAGGAAACAGTCAATAAATTGAAAAGACAGCCCAAGGATAAGAGAAAGCATTTGTAAACCAGATATTTATAAGACACTAATGGTCAAAATATACAGAAATTAATAAAATTTAGTAGCAAAAAATAAACTTATTTTAAAATGGAGGAAGGTGTTCAACATCACTAATCATTGGGGAGTTGTAAATTAAATCATATTGTGATATCACTTCATATTTCTTATGATAAATATTATCTAAAGTCAAAGCATAAAAGTTGACAAGGTTGTAGAGGAAAGGAAGATTTTATATTATTTGTGGAAATTCAAATGGATGAAGGTTCCTTAAAATTCTAAATATAAAATTACCATACAATCCAACAATCCCACTTCTGAGTTATATATACAAAGAAAGCCATAACTATCTCAAAGAAGTTTCTGCAACTCATGTTCATTACAGCACTATTCACAGTAACCAAGATATGGAAAGTCTGGTCTGTTTAATGAAGAAAATGTATACAATCCTCAAAGTTATAGTGCTTTCTTCCTGAAGAAATACATATCAGGAGAGACATGAATTGTGAATTGTCTTCTTATGTCCTTTGCTCCTTTCTCCACTCTGTTATTAATTTTTTTCTTAATGAAATATAGATGCTACCTTAGGAATATTTCTGTTTAATTACTTGCATTAAAAAGCATTTCCACATTTATGAGTGCTTTCTCAATTTGGTTTATCAGAATCCTGCTGTTAATACAGATTTTTTTTTCAATTTCTGTAAAAATATTTTCCTTAGAAATTAGCAAAGGAAGAAAGTATAAGAAACTTGAACAAAAGAGAGAGCTTTTGTCTGAAGTTCCAGTACAAAATTGTAAAGAACTACTTCTATCTCAAATTAAAAACTAATTCACTGCAATTTCAATCAAGAAACTAGCATAGTTTATTTGGATATTTTTTCTTTCTTTTTTTGGGTAGAATTTGACCAATTAGCCTTAAATTTACCAGGCATAAACCCAAGAGAGGGCTTAAACAAAAAGTAAGAAATATTTTATCTCCTTTTTTATTATTACATGAAAAAAAGATCTTGTTTCTCTTTTTATTTTTTTTTTACAAAAAAAATCCTTCACCTTAGGACTTTGAATGAAAATTAATGCATCTGTTTTTATACAGTTTTATTATAATTTAAAGTATTTTATCTTGCCATTAAACTTTAAAATTCTAAAAGCAACATTTTTTTCCCTTTCCTGTACTTTGGTTTAACTTCTCCCTACGGAAGTGAAGTCTGGTGTACCCTTATCAGAGAGAGTGAGTGGGAGGAGTATCTACTAAAAGCTTCAAAGCTTGCTGAGCTTGGCCAGTCTGCAGAGAAGGGCTGCCTGTGTTAGAGTCCTCAGAAGCTTAGGCTGAAGAGAAGCTCACAGGTAAGGGATTGTCATCAAATAAGTTCTTTTCAGAGCCTTCAGAGGATTTGATGTAAAGAAGAAAAGAGACTTCTGTTTTGGAGTAATGTAAACTATCTCTTTGTACATCTTGTTTCTGTAAGGGAATTAATACCTGGATTTTGTATTCATCCAGATACCACAGTGGTGGAAAATAGTGATCTGATTGCATCTGGTGGGACGGGGTACTTCATGAGGTTTCAAAAGTTAACTTTGGTAAAGGGCATTTACTTTTTTAGTCAAAAATGACTAGTGGCTATAATAAATAAATATTTCTTATTTTGAGTGAAAAGCTTTATGATTATACTAAATGAAAAAGTGTTAGTGATATTAATTTTATAATACTTTGGATTAGTTGATTGTGTTTCTAACAAATCTGATTCTAACAAATCTATTTTGGTACAGCTTTATAATAATTTAAAATATTGTATAATTATGCAGCTTCATCTAACTCTGAGAATTAAGAGTTTGTCAGGGAATACTGAAAGTTGTAAATGAATTTTTTTTTAATGATGAGTAAAAGGTGATCTTTGTATTTCTATGGAGAGAATGATATGTTCCTTTTTGTATTAAACTAACATGTTCACTAGATCATAAAAATGAAAGACATTTCTTAATATAAAACACAACAAATATATGTAATCATAAAGAGTTTCTAGTTGCAAAGGGGAAAAGGGCAAATTTTCTTTCTTCCATAAGTCACTTAGCATCTATATCAATATAAAAATAACTGACATGAGAATTTAAAATTGTGTGTGTAGGAGCTACCTTTTCCAAATGGTATGAACATATAAACATAAAGAGATACTCAAATATGCAGATGAATGACTAATTTCAAATAATGTATTCAAATATATATAGTTAAAGAAAGAAAGTATTAGACGCAAACATAAGCAATAAAGGATTCAGGAGTTTGAGTACTGAAAATGTGTTAGATTCTGTGTACTTTTAAGATTCTTTCATATACAAGGGGCCTGAAAAGGGAGTCATTAGTTACAGATACTTAAACAGATATACACATTCCATTGTCTTTCGCTGAAGCTGAATTTTTTGTGGATTTAATAACCTGGTTACCTGCTTGCTTGTGCTTTTCTAGCAAATAATATAGGCTACAGTCTACATATTAAATCAAGTAGAAGATGAATATATACTCTGCAGAAAACAAATTGTGGAATAGTTACATAAAATTGTAACCCACAATACTTAAAACTATATAATTATAAAAAGAATGAACTAACTCCAAATGCCAAGAAAAGTTATTTAAAATATAATATAAAAATAGGCAAATTGCCAAGTGACTAACATTATGCAAAATCTTTTACAAAACAAGAATGTGTGTGCATTATTATATTCAAGAGAAATGTGGAAATACAAGAGCAACTTTTTAAATCATATCAGTGAGGTTGGAGAGACAGAAAGATTTTAACCTATGTATTAAAAATCTCCATTTTAAAATAACAAGGTTAACATATTCTCATGAGGAAATGAGATAAAATTTTAGAAATACTTTTTAAAATTGTAAAACAATTCACAAAAAATGGTCTGAAAATGTTTTTATTGGTGACAAGTGATCAAATATATTATTTAAAGGAAAAATGTGTAGAGAAAATCATAATATTTCAACCCTTTTTGAGATTTAATTTTGTCATTGGAAATTCAAAAGAAAGGAGACAGTACACATGAGAGATAGTAAAATTAAATAAAGTGAGGACGTTATGATCCTGTTATTTCTATAAAACACCCACACAACTCTTAAACTGAGAATGAAAAGTTCTAAAGGGCTGATACTGTTTTGATGACTAGTTCCCACTGTTCCCGGTAAGATTTAAGTGTTTGCAGTTCTGATTTTGACTACAAGATGGCGCTTCCCAAGTTTCATAAATGTTCTCCAGGTGACCATTTTTACAAAATGAACAAAGCCATGAAATATATATTTTATATTAATCAACTGTGAAATAGCATGTAGGTTATGATTGAAAAGTTCTTTATAATTTGAACATTTAGAGCAGAAAAACTCCAAATGAGGACTGATGTGAACATTTACATTCAAATTATTAAAAGCTACACATAATTTGGCTTACAGAAGATACAAAGAAAATTTACTGTTATTCTTTCATTTATCCACTTAATAATTTTCCTGAGAAAGATGATTTCAATATGAACCAAACAACATAAATGAGTTCCTTGGAGTATTTTATGTTATAAGAGTATGAAGGAAAATAAACATGACATCTATATCACAGGTGAGATTTCACCTAGTCCCAATTTTTCAGGATGATATTCCTGCTGCTGTTTTGGTGAGGAGATTTCTTTCCATTTTTTATTTAGTTGATTTGATTCCGTACTTTTCTGCAGCCTAGATTAATACTTAGAAGTCTATGCGACCTGATTATCTGCCTGTTAACCCAGTTGAGCCCCTAGAAGGCAGTGCAATGACAAAAAATTCACAGCAGGATCAAGACCATGGACAAGCAGAGTGAGAAACAGAACAGTTGGATCACAGGGCCAGAGCCACTATAGTACATGTGACAGAGGGTAATACATGAGACATTTCACATTAAAAAACATGCTGAGATCTCGAAGGATAATGAACCTTGTTTCTTTGTTGACAGCTGGAACATTTTAAATTAAAACCCATATTTTTATTAATAACATGTTCATTTGGGAAATTTTGGTATAAGTTAAATTGCTCCAAGTCCTGTAATGTAACATTTTATTTATTTTATTTTATTTTATTTTATTTTATTTTATTTTATTTTATTTATTTATTTTTTGGTACCAGGGGTCAAACTCACAACCAAGCATTTGCAAGGCAGGTGCTTATGCTGCTGAGCTAAATCCTTGGTCCAAAGCTGTAGCATTTTAATTAGCAACCACTTCTTATTTTGAAAAATCTCATGAATTAAAGCACTGAAAAAATCATGCAAGAAGCTCTTCAAGTTCCAGCCAGTTGCCTAACTCTCACAGTTTTACTGTTTTTGTAGCTTATAAATTGTCATAGCATGGATTCTTAGTCTTTTCTTAGTCAAGAAAACTGGATCGCAGAAGATACACCATGATCTACATGACAGGGGCTAAGAATCTTATCATTTTCACATTGAAAAACATATTGAGATTTTAAAGGATTAATTTATTTTCATTTCTCCTTTATAGTCATATATTTTTTCATTTAAATAATTTTTGATACTGGAATTCAAACCCATGGCCTTGCATATGTTAGGTGAGTCTTCTACCAAGGAGCTATACTCCAATCCTGCAGTTGCATCATTTAAAGTTTAAAACCACATTTTGAAAAACTGATGTATAATTCATTTTGATCCCACTTCTATAGCATAATGCTTATAATTAAAACGTATAGATTCTCATTTTGAAAATCTCATGTTAAGCCACAAAAAATAATGTAAGTCTGTTTATGTATCCACCTGAGCTTCCAGCCATGGCTTGACTCAAATTCTTAACAGCTGTTCCAAACTGTTATCACCACAACCATACTTACAGAGATTTCTTAAGGTCAGATGGCTGTTCTTAGATATACATCTGTATGTTCCCTTGAATGATATGTGAAATGGTTTAACACATTTAATTCTTTAACAGAAACCACCACAAGTCTCTGACTCCTCAGGTAGTACTGTTACTGAGGTTGTTGGTGCAGAACCCCCTTTTATGTCCACGTGATCTCTTTTGGTTGCCTGGGACAAACAAGGAAGCAATAGCAGCTTAAAAAACATTAATATGAAACATTCCTTATGTAACTCATGCCCATAAAGTTCAAATTACTCAGAAACCCAAATAATGTTCCTGATACTTCCAAAGACCCTCCTACACACATTATCCCTTGTTGTAAAACAGAAAAAAATAAAGATAACATCTCTGATACGTGTTATCATGTCATTTTCTGTTTTTGTTTTATTCCTCCAAAGTATGTTCTATGTCTCTGACTCCATCTGGCTGATTCTATTTTACTTACTTTTATCTTGTCTCCATTCTCACTGCTAGTCCACTTTATTTCTACTGGCAAAGTAAAATTTTTATCTGATCTTATTTCTTTTTGCCATATTTTAATCCAATGAGGTTATCACTAGTTGAAACTGCTTAGTGAAACTGCAGAGGGATAAAAAGAGGATGCGTCAAGTGCAGACCATTTATTAGACCTAAGGCCATAAAATAAGACTTCTTCAAAAGCACTGTTTTTCAAGATAACTAAGTATCTACAATTTTTATGATTGTATCATCAAATGTACTTTAATAATTGCTATTTGTACAACCTACATTAGTGTCAGAGGTACATGTTACCCATGGGTCTTTGTAAACTATGCTAAGATACAGAGATATAACCTATATAGTGGTTAAAAACTAAGTTCTTTCCACACAGTAAGTGCCAGTTTCAAACTCACAATTGTCTGATTTTCTGCCCACAGGACTCACAAAACCCAAATCTATTAAGTGGCATAATGCTTTCATGACAAACCCTTAAAGGCTAGACCCTGGACCAAACCAACAGAAGTCCATTAAAAAAAAAAAAAAAAAAAACTTGATGAGTAGTTGCAGAATAATTTTGGCAGAGCCTCACTCTGCTTTTATGGGCATCTGAAAAGGTGATGGTCTCTTCTAAGGAAGAGTCCCCAAGGCAGATATTTTTTCTATTAGTTAATTATAGAAGGAGCTGTGTCATAGTGCAGCTGCTTCTGTAACCTGAATAGTTAAAATATGGCAAGAGATACACTTTTTTCTTCTCTGTGATAAGAGATTAGGTTGTGTAAAAATGCTTGAAGTTTTGTTTTAAACTTGCTACAACATCTTAAGAGACCCAAACCTTAGAATAATACATCAGCAGTGGGAAAGTTTCAGTACTTCCTGGGAAATGACACCTCATACTTAAACACAATAAAGATCTAAATTTCAGGCTGAATTTCTATTTTTTTAATTAAAAAGCTCAGCAAAAGAATGCATAAATACAATTTTCCCATATCTAATTATCAGTTGCAGACAAGAATACTCAGTTTTTAACAAGAGTGGAATGAAACGGGCATTTCACTGTGTAAAAAATGATTTCCAGTGTCTGTCCAGGAATAGGTATTTCTGAAAAGTGCCAAGTCCCAGCAAAATAGAAACAAAACATATTTGTCATGATTGTCCTAAAGCCAACTGAAAACTATCACTCAAATATGGTCAATCCACAAGAAATACTGTACAACAATGTTTTAAAATTTGCTTTTGGTATGTAAAAGAGACAGTTTGTGGGTAAGTATAATTTTTACTGAAGATGGTTGTAGGTAGTTCATCAATATGTTCATCAGCAGGGCTATGAGATTAAGCCACATTCACTTGGGTTATATTCACCAGTTTTTTTCACAATCTGAGAGTAAATGCCTTCATTATTTATTCTACCAAAGAGATAGTATTCCAAGCCTAAGAGGATGTGAGCACTGTGGGCAGAGAGCACATTCTTATGTTTTGTAGTTAGATGAACTGTCTCTGATTTCATCCTTGCCTCTTCCCTGCTTTGTGGTTATAGGCATGAGGGACAGTGTCAATTTCTTTATTCTCTTGCTCATTGTGACACTTCTTTGCTTGTAGGTAGAAAAACTGCATTTCAGTAACGTTTACACTTGCATTGGATCTCTGATTATTAGGAAAAGTGAATGTTTTGTGCTTTGGTCAATTTTAGGTTTTATTTTATATATTGGGTTTTGAAGAGTCTCAATAAAAAGTACCTAAACAAATCGATACAAAACAAATGGAGTTGCAGATGGGAGCCAAAATGTTGGCTTTTTAGTACAAGAGAAATGTAAGTTGCAAAACATTGGCTATTGTAAAAATCAAGTGGGTCTTATAATAGAACCCCAAATGTAAGCAAAGACACCCAAGTAGTTTTAAGAAGTACTTACAGTTGTACTACATGATCTTGCCCACAAAGAAGCAAATAAAATAATTCTCCAGAATATTGTGAATTGGTTGTTTTTTGCCTCCTTTTTACATCACTATATTTTACTAATATGTAAAAGCTACTTTAACAATACTTTTGCATTGACAATAGTTCTGTCAAGTTTGTTCTGATTTCAAATGCGGTTCATTGTGATTTTGGCCATAGTTTTCTGTTCAATTTCAGAATAGTTAGATATGCACCTCTTTAAGGATTCTTAGTTGATGTTTTATATTTAGAAATGAATGCAGTTGGTAAAACCATAAAATATTCTCAAGAATGAATAAGAAGAGTGAATAAAAACTGTAACATAGCATTTCTGGGGGCGTGAAGAATTAATGTTATAAAAAATAATTCTCCACGAAATAATGTATTAACTCACTGCATTCACAAATGAGTACTCAGTAAGTCTGTTTAATGGAGATTGACAAGCTAGATCCTAAAATCATTTGTAGAAATAAGATGTCAGAATAAGCAAACTTGCAATATATATACTGTATGATATGTACAGTCTCACCTAGTTAGTCTTAACTAGGTTTCTATTACATGAAAATGACATTTCTACTTTTTTTCTTGTAAACCACTTACCCTTGAATGTAAATTAAAGGACACGTGTTGCCATTCTGCTTTCAAGTGCTTTAAAAATGCACGTTTTTTCCCTTCAGTGAACTGCAATTTAACTCGGCAATTCTCTTCCCTGTAATTGTGGGAAAGGCCCCCTGATTTCCCCTTCCCTGGAGGGGGAGGAGCCTTCTGTGAACAGCTGGGAAGTGAGCCCTGCCAGGCGGGTCTTCTGGGAGGGGCTGCATTTCAAGAGAGTGCAGCTGACGAGAAGCTTCAAGGTAATGGCTGTCTTAAAGCTAGTTATTTTCTGGGAATTTCTTCTTGGGGCCTTGGGGTTAAGCTATAAAAGATGGAGATTGTTTCCCGGGAAAAGAGGAATGGAATATGGTTTTGGTCGAATTGCTGTTACCGGGACAGAATTAATCCCGTGGAATTTTTGTTTCTTCTGATATTTTCTTAAAGTCCACAGCGTGGGAATAGGTGACTCAGATTACAGATTCTAAATTAAGATTTACGTGAAGCATGTCTTTCATGTTATTTTTTACGTAGCATTTCATGTTTCTCTCCTTGTTACAGAATTTATTGTATTTTGTTTAAACATTATATTCTACCCAAAATAACTGATAGATGCAAATATATAAAGCAGTTGACACAAACACAAATATAAAGGTACACCACCATGGAAAGGGATTCAGATAGGCTTTTGAGCGGTAACACTTGTAAACAAAAAGAGGCATTTCACCTTAGGGTAACTAGACTCCCTTTTAACAATCAGCATCTCTGAGTAATTAGATTCCTTGTAAAAGGTCAGCATTTCTGATTATTTAAATTACTGGATTTTTTAAAAAATCATTTTTAACTGGATTCAGCATTTTTTAAATTGATCTTTCTATCATATGATTATTTTTAGAATTAGAGGAAAAGGATGCTGATACCTCATTTTGTTTAAGATACATAAATAGTCATAAACACAGACAAACATGTTCCCATACCCTCTGTATCTTTCCTGATAGGGAAATTATTCCTGGATCTGGTCAAGTAAGTAGCCTGATTGCAGTGTCTCCTGCAGCCTACATGTGTCCTCCACGCAGCTCATCTGTTCAGACCACAAATACAATTGTAGTTAGCTCGAAGCACTTTTTACCTACATCACTGAAGTGCAATCATGAGATAAAAACAGGACTTGATGTATTTTTATAAGCCATTTTGAAAATAGTATGTGGAATGATACTTCCAAACACGTATGTTTATGAAGTTGACAAAAATATGAACTTGTAGCAAATTGAAAAGATCTCTTTTAAGTGGTATTAGGTGAAAAAAAAACTGCAAAATGGCAAGTAGCATATTATGTCACTGAAGAAAAATCTATTAATAAAGTATGTGTAACTACAGTTTTAAAAAATGTACAATGCAACCTGATGGAATTATTTGTGTGGTTGGGAAAGCAAGACAGGCTTTGTTATCTCTATTTAAAAATAATCATAAATTACATATTGTTTTCTTAGAAGTAGTTGTTCAAGTTACGCTTTTTAAAAAAAATCTGTATTATTTCTACCATTTTTTGTTTTGCTTTTTTCTCTAAATAAAAAATCATATAAATATATAGTAATTTTCTAACAATCAGAAAAAAGATTAAGATAAAATACTGCAAAGTTGGGAAGAAAATTTATTCATTAAAGGATCACATTGAAAATACTAATTAATATGGAAAAATGTTCAAACTGTGAGGCTGAGTAAGGTAAAAAGGTGATTTCAAATCGGATACATACACATATATATGTTAAGAAAAAATATGAAAATTATATTATGAGAAGTAATAATTTTGGCTTTCCAAAACTGTGCTTTTTATATATCTTTCTTGTATTTTCAATTTTTAGTAAGCATGCATTTTATTTTGCAATCCAATCATTGGAGTTGAAAATATTTGGGTACCATTTTTTGTCTAATGTAACAAAGCTTGGTATTTAAGTATCTATAAGCCTGAGAAAGCTGCTGTCTGGCAGGATGAAGTTCCCACCCTCCTCTCAAAGGATATGTTAGTGGCAGTTCTGGTTTTGGTCACAAGATGGCAGTTGCCAGATAGCCTAAATTTTATTTATTTATTTGTACCGGGGATCAAACTCACAAGCGCAGGCTTGCAAGGCACTACATTTTTTCCAGGCAACTAAATTTATGAAGTGAACAAACAAAGCAATGAAACATATATTGTATTAGCAGACTATGGGAAAGCATATAGACTGCGATTGAAATGCCACAGAACAAATTACATTTGTCTAGAAGACAGTCTTACCCAAGAACTGATGTGAGGATTCAAACAGAAAACAAAATGTGCTGCTGCATAGAGTCTGGCCAGTATTAAACCCAAGACAGTTGTTATTTCTCTTCTGTTTTGTCTCTACCTTTTAATTTTCCTGAACGAGATGATTTAAGCATGAACTAAAGAAGACGATTGTGTCCTAGAAAGCATTTTAGACTACAAAAACATGAGAGAAAATAAATATGATGCCTGCCTCACAAATGCGATTTCACCTTATTCCTGTTTCAGAGTGACATAGCTACTAGACTTTCCTTCAGAAAATTTCCTTACACTTTTGTCATTTCATTGATTTGATTTCTTTTTTTGATGATACAGATTAATATCAGAGATACTTGAGACCTGGACAGTCTGCCTGTGACACTATTTGAGCCCCAGAAAGGCACTGGAGCTTCCAAAGTGTTCAACAGGGTTAAGACTCTGCTAGACCAGCAGTTGAAGTGAGAATCAGCACAGCTGAATCACAAGGCTAGAGACGCCATTATCCACACAGCAGAGGGTGAGATTCTTACTATTTTATATTTTATGTTAAAAGGATGTTACATTGCTTTCTAATGTTGGGAAGGAATTATATACAGATGGTCTTCAGCTTGCAATTACTTTACTTAACAGTTTTTCAACTTTGTGATAGTACAAAGCCATTGGTATTCAGTAAAAGTCATCCTTTGAAGTTGGATCTTTTCCCAGACTTGAGATAAGCAGTAAAACATCCTGTCTTAATATTGGGCAGTGGCTGCAACCCATAAATCCAGTCAGCCATGATGTTATGGGAAAAAGTAGCCAGTAGTCTATAGGGGATTGTGTTGTCAGCATTTTTTGGATGTTGCTTTGTATTTTTATATTCTGTTATTATGTGGAAATTAATTCCAAACTTGTTGGATATCAGCTGTGTCTCACAACACATGGGAATGAAGTTGCAAGCCAACGAAGAGGTTAGTATAGTTTTATTAGAATTAAAAAGAAGGCAACTAGCTCCTAGAATTATAGAAGGGGTCCCAAGTGGGTGGTCTCTGAATCTCTTTGTCAAGAGTATTTTATATACCAAAGTCACAATGTGAGTTTGCTGTGGTCACACCATAATCAACCAATAGGATTACAACTATATTTGCTTAGTTAATATTGTTCTGATAGAGAAATAAAAAATATACCAAGTGTATATAATGAATATCATTAACTTTAGCTTATCTATAACTTCTAACCCACAGAAAGAACAAAAATATTCTTGAAAAGAGGTGAGAGTATGGGTTTGGATGTTCTGGTCATCTACTCCTGCATCTGATGCCTACCTGGGCTCATTGGACCAAGTGATACTAATTTAAGTATAATCCCAAGTTGCTGTTTATCTTTAGGGAGATTCCCAAGCTTGACTATCAGTCTCCACTTTGAGCCCTGTCCCTCTTCAGATTCACCTCCAGCTGCAATTTACATGTTTCTTTATGTTTTGTACAGACTCCCTTGACAGCCAAATGCCTCTCTTCACTGCCTCTTAATTTCTATCTAACTGAACTGTCTACAATATCATCATGTCTACAGAATACATTAATTTTTTTTTCAACAGTGATATTTTCAACTGACTATGTATTTGCTGGAGTATAGTCCTAAGTCAAAGAGCATGTATATGCTAAACCCCTATATAAAATTGACCAAATTACCATGATAACGCTTATATTTAGGAGAGTAGCATACCTAGTCAACTGCTTGACTATCAAGAAATCCTTTTAAAAGTAATCTTGACAATAAGCAGCCATGGTAGAGATTCTGAATCTTTGATTCCTAAGCTCATCCTATTAAGTGAAATTATTGTATTCTTGTCTGGGCCGCTGTGAGAGACATACCCCAGTATCTGTCTGCCTGACTTGTACAAAAAGAGTAGCAAAGGCAGCTTGGAGAAACTAAAAGCGTATATATTCTTCTAGAATAACACAGGAGGCCCCATAGTAGCAAGGTATTCATTAACAGAAATGGAGTTCCAGAAGTATGGCCCATCTCTCCTCGCCCATTTCTCACCAGCCTTATACACACAAAAATATTCATTTTATGTGTTGGCAATAATTAGTAAAGGCTGTGTCCTGGGACATTATAAAATTATTCCTCTTTATTGAAGTTTTAAACATTTTTTCCAGTCACATACATGTCATGATCAAGTGATAAGTATTCATTTATCCTTTTATGTATATCTTCTCCATATGTACACCTTTCTTCTCAGACAAAACAAATTTATTTGTGTATCTCTTTTTTGTGAGTATCCTCTAATGTCATCCATTCAAAATTATCTATTGAAACTTGCTCGCGAGTATTCAGATCCAGATAAATAAGCCAAACAAGGAGAAAACTAGTAAAAAAAACTAGTAGCCTCAAACCAATGGAGTACTGTTTTTTCTCGTGAAATGAGACTGTCAAACACAGATCATTGATCTCAGTGCTTTTCTAGATAATTGCGTTTACTGACACATTTCTCATCTGCATCAGATGTGCACGCATATTGAGACCTTTTGTGTTCATTTTAAATTTTTCTTCTTTTCTGTTTCCTTTCTATTTATGCATATGTAACACTTGCTATATACATAGTTTGTCACTGAACTTTAAAAAATTGTACTAACCTTGTATTTTACTGGCTGGTAGAATTTTATCCCCTCCAGTCCACTAGTAAGATTAGAGCTGGATCCCAACCCATATCTATATATCTTTCTGTTCAGGAACTGGAACACATAACTTTGCTGTAATGCTAGCTTGAGGAACGTGAGGTTTAAATATTGTACCTTTAACAGTCTCTCTTATCATCTCCCTAAAGCACTGATAAGTAACCTACTTCAGAGGGATGATGGGAATGTTTTTTGGTTCTGCTTTGATCTTTTCCTTTGGATATCTCAGAGAACAGTGAGGGTTAAGGGGAGTGGTAGTTTTCTTTAAATTTCCCATGGCAAGTCTCAGAGAGCTATTTCTTTATTCTGGTTGATTTTAGGAAGGACACTACAGCTTCATCATTTCACTTTAGTACTCAGAGCATAGTAGGGCTTTATATGGCTGTGTGTGGTAATGATGGGATTGTGAGCTCCTCTTTCCTTATTTTCATTATATTTCTTTTAAATATTCCCCATTCCATTATCCTGAGTATTGGCTTGTGACAGTTTTATCCACTGACACTAATCATTTTACCGTTACCTATGACATAGCCAGGTTTATCCCCCTGTTACCTCTAGGTCATTGGTTGGTATTTTCAAACTTTGTTAAAAATCACATCTCATACATTTGGTTTCAGTTGTGGAATCTTTTGGCCCTAGTAATGATCCATTCTCTGGCTTGCATTTTGTTGCACTTGGAATGCTCATCTTTAGTAAATTAATTGGATCTTTGTCTTCTTCAGCTAGTAGACATTAATAAGAATGAACTCTTCATTTACAGCCAGTTTCCACTGTTGTTTGTCTGTGTCTCTGCCTTGGGAAGGGAGTCAATGAAATTTTCAATATTCATTATGTGTCTAAGATTCCTTGCTTCACCCATGCCCATATCACCTCATTGTCTTTGAGGATGTTCTAACTGAACTATCCTTACTCTTTATTTAGACCTAGTGCACTAAAAATGTTGACGTTTATTTTATAACCATTGTTTCTTTTATGTTATTCAGCTTTGTTTCCCCCCCCCCCGTGGGTAGATTTTTAATCATATCTCTATCAAGATTATAGAATTTGGTTTCTACACTTTTTTTCTTCCTTCTTTTCCTCCTTTCTCTTTTCATTCATATGGTGGAGTCGCATTTGAGAACTTCAGTGTGAATAATAGCTTTACTAATGAGTTTTAAATTCATAACAAGAGGATGCTGCTGTCATCAAGTTCTTGATAATTGTTCTCTGCTAGCAAACTCTCAAGGAAAGAATTATTTTGTAAAGATATGAACTTATAAGTTATATAACTGTATCAGAGTGATGTGTCTTAGAGGTCTCCTCAGCTCTTTAAATCAAATTCTAAAGCAGAATTTAATAAAAAAAAATAAAGAAATTAAAATAATTTGAATTTAAACATTTTTTTCTGTATTTCAGAGGATATTCTACACATACTTTTTGGGACCCAGAACCTTCTTAGGTACAAATCAAGGGCTTGAGATTTAGCTCAGTGACTCAGTGTCTGCCTGGCAAGCATGAGGTTGTGAGTGTTCCTATATCTCTCACAGTAAAATGCAAATATCTTTGATGCCTGCTTGGATGCCTTATTAAGACTAAAGTTTATTGAGATATTTATGTATCTATAGTTTATTGCTTAATATAGCTGAGTGTTATATTGAATTGCTATTTTAAAATTTGTATAGTCATTCATCAGGAGATTTTTAGTTTTTGGTGATTATGATTCAAGTTGTAAACATTCCAAAACAGATCTTCGTGTGTTGTAATTTTACTTGGGTAAATACCATAGAGTAAAATTTCTGAGTTGAATGTTATGAATATTTTAAGGTACATTAACAACTAAAAACTTTTGTCTAAAATGATTAGACATTTTTGCATATCCCCTGCAATATGAGAGTTCTACTTGCTATGAATAATTTTCAGAAGTTAATTCCGTCAAGATTTTTTTTTGTGTGTGTCTTTAACACTACCCAACTTATTGATTATGGTGACAAGTAGCACAGGGCTATGGCACCACTTTTGAAGACATTAATCCAATAATTAGCAAAGAGGAGTCCCTGGCACAAATGTCCTACAGGCAGAAAAGAGTAGAGCATCTGAATCCAGAAACCTTGGCTCGAGGTTCTGCCATCAATACAGACTACCATCGTGATGCTATAAAAGTCATGTAACCCCTGTGCTACATTCTTTACTGTGTCCTTTTGTGCCTGCTTCACATTACCTTTTATGCCTTGTTGATGAGATTCAAACAAGACAAAGTTACTGTGAAGCAGTAGCTATTTATGTCAAGATGATTTTCCAGCATAACAGTATATGATAATGTGTTATAGAAGTCCTATCAGCACTATTTAAGTATGTTATATAAAACGATTTTGAGTGCAGGCCCAGGTAGGAAAGAATCCTTTCATTCTTCATCTCTCTCATTCTCCATCCAATAATTATTGTTATAAAGGTGTCAATGCTGTCCTATTGAAATTTTACTTCCATTATCTTTAATTATTAATGATGTTGAGCAGATTACCATGTGCTCATTTGCTACAGACACTTCTTTGATGGTGTGTATTTAAATTGTCCATTTTTAATTGGATTGGATTTTAAAAGTTATTTGTATATTCTGGATACAAAATATTTATCAGATACATGTTTTGTAAATATTTTCTCACTTTCTGTAAATTTTCTTTTTTTGTAAATCATAAGTTGTTATGGTTTGTGTCTAGACATTCCCCCAAGTCTTTTTCAGTTGTGGGGGCAGGCTTCTAAAATTTATGATTGATTCATTGTCTAGTGCTGGGATTATGGGGGTGAGTGTTAAACTGTCCTTAGTGTGGGTAATCTGCATACAATATAAGTGAGGGAAAGAATCTTGGTCTCTCTCTCTCTT